AATTTTTTTAGTTTCGATAGTTGTTTGTAGATTTTTTTCACTGTGTTTCCATTGTGTTATTAGAGTGTGTGTTCCTGCCTGTGCGCGGAAGTATAGCATGTATTAAGGTTACAGTATGTATAAAGGAAGCGGAGGTGGCGCGACAAAACATCGCGACTCATATTTGGTATGTCCAGACTTTAGCGGCCCACGGAGCGACTCATGTCCAGACTTTCCAGACTCAAACTCTCGGCGCGACTATACAATTTGGTTCTAAATCCGGATGCGGCGCGACACTTAAAGTCTGGACATGAGCCTGGGACCTCGACCCGGGTAAGTTTCTAAATTCGTTTGGGTATTTATGTGGTTGCGATCAACTTCTATCGTAATATCGTTGTGATTGCGATCTGTTCCCTACGTTGTTACTTTATTGTTTTGATGGCTCACCTGATCTGTTATTACTGGCGATCTGATAATTTTTTCAGGTTTTGACTCTTTACACCTTTTTTTTCAGGTTTTGACACCTTGTTTTTTTCAGGTTTTGACTCTTTACTTTTTGACGGGTTATTTTGTTAGTCTTGTTGCTTGTCTTGTCACCCTGCTATGCTATGTTTGTATTTTCGACAACTTGGGCATCACTTTAGAAAAAAATGGTTTGCCTTAAAAGTTTGAAGTTTCTTTTAAGACGTTGAGTTTTTTGATCACATCTGATTAATCTCAATGTGAATCATTTATGTTGTATATTTAATAGTCACGATTTTGCGAAATATGTCTTTACATAATCTAATTTAAAACTTTCTGTTCCGTCCAATTTCATTGTGCTTTCTGCTTGTTCTGGTTTTCTACTAGTTTTTTAAACTCCGGCTGTTCTTCTGTTTTTGAAGAGGGTGTGACGCTCGTTTTTTGTTGCTATTTCTCTTAACTGTGGGGTATAATCATCATGAAAACTTCTGTCAATTTTGTGTTTCTATAGTTTAAACTTCATCGAATGCAAATTCTTGGGTTAGAAGCAATGTTATTCTGTCTTCGTTGTGTGAATGTTGCTGACGCAAAACCCTTTTCTGGGTGAATTTGGATTGTTTCGATCTATTACGGTGGGGTTTTTAGCATTATAGATGTTCAGCCAGTTTTTTTTGACGTTGAGTGTAAAAAAACTGGGTATTTGTTTATAGTATCGTCAGTGAATCATAAAAAAAGAATTGGAACTTTCGTAAATACGGATTCTTTTTAGTGATGCGCTTGATTTTGCTGTAGGAAAACTGAAAACTATTCCATGATGTCAATGTCAGTTCCAAACATTATCTGGTTACTTTTCAAAAATTGTTGATTCTGTATATTTTATTGGAAAATTTGTTCTGAAATTCTGATTTTTTTTATAATATGTGCGAAATAGCTTATAATAAACCAGGCTAAAGTATAGTTGTTCTGTGACATGGGAGACTTCAAGGGTGCGTTCGTTATAAAACCTCTGTAAATAGTGTAACAAACTTACTGACTGGTGGCGAGGGGTTAAAAATAGTTTTGTCATCTTAAATCTGTGATGTTCAAAATATTTCCAAAAACATTGTCAATAAAAAATGAATACGCTTTGAAAGCTTTAAAGTGCTGCATGTTTTAATATAACTGATAGATACTCTGAACAACTTTTTAAACTCTGTTGCTATTTCATTCGTTTCATGTTTTATCCTGTTTCTTGTATTTGATTATCTGGACTTGAGTATTTGATTTTTATTGTTATATATAACTTCTAATTGACACCATAGTACAACGTAGTGATATTTCGTCTTTTTGTTTGATTTCAGGAAAAAAAATCGCTTTGGCTTGTTTGTCTGAAAACAATTGCTTAAAATTTCTTGATATTCATTGGTATTTGTCATTGGGGTGTAATTAATACTGTATAATTGAATTAGTGTTTAATTTGTTGACAACTGTTTTAGATTGGCGGGTTTTGCTAAATTTTCGGATTCTATTTTTTTTGCGGTTTTTTATTTGGTTTAATTGATTCTTTATCAAAGAACGATAAAATCTTAGTTTGTGTTTTTTCCTACGACTTTTAATGGAATTTGTTTAAAACTTTCACTGAATGAGGTCATTTGTGTGTTGTGCTCCGACCATTAAAATGGTGAGGAACTTTGTATTCGGGTGTCATTTAGTTTTTTTTCAACGCAAAATCGGGAACCACTAAATATCATCGAAAAATGTTGAGTGATATATCAGATTAAGACCCTCTCAGTTCTGGTTCGGAAGACATCAAAAAAATTTGATTTTTTTTGAGTGTCGAGAAAAACCCGTTAAAATTTTTAGTTTGTGGTCTATTTTGAGCAAATAAGGTGATAGAATGAGCGAGCAGTCTTATAGTTTTTATTTATACCTAGAACTTTCGAATGAAATAGCAAAAATTTGTGGAACTTTCGAATGAAATAGTACAAATTTGTGAAAATTCTTTTGAATTTTTAATTTTTTTTTGTTTTTCTAGTCATTTTTCTAAAAAAAAAAAACGGTTTTTCAACTTGCCTATATTAGTATGACTGTCGAAATTCTACTTTTTTGTTTAGAAAATAAGTTTTTTTTGTTTTTCTAAACTTTGGTCGGAACATTCTGTCCTAGCAGCACAGAACCGGCTATCCTTGTTCTTAATTTCGATTTTCCTCTTCGCTGGATCTTGTGAAGAATGTTTTTTTTTCAACTGGTGTTTCAATTAAATAAAGTTATTTTCATTTTTTGTGAAAATTCGAAAAACCGTTAACTTTTCTGTCCCAATGATTTTTCTGATGTAAAAAATTAATTCGCTAATGACTTCCCTTTTTTCTAGTTCATTCTACTTATTTCTTAAATTGTAAGACTTTAATTGTGACTTGCTGAATTATTTTTTCATAGAGGCCTCTGGGTGGCTCGGAACAAGACGGGTCTGATAGAGACCGTGAGTTGGTGAGTTATGATTGTAGGGTCAGGGAATAGTGAATCTGTCTACAGGGCTCAGGTAGAATCAGAACACAAATAGATTAGACACTGATTTGAGCTGATTTTTTAAATTTGGTTTTAGTCAGGGCCAGTCACGAAAAGAAGGTTAAACAAATCGTCACCGGAGAGTCACTAGACACTGTTTCTCTTAATAGCGATTAGTTAGTGAATTAAGAATCCAAGATCAAAACTTGATGCTTCTAATTTTTTAATGATGGGTCATGTCTGAGAGTTGGACTGCGAATCGACACCGTTAGACACTTTTCAAGGTTGATCGAAATGCAATTGTTTATCAAAATGTTTTTTAAAAATTTTAAGTTCCAAGGATAAGCTTTCATAATCTGATTGTTTTATTTTGGAAATATTTTGATTACTGAAGTTAATTTCTGGATGCTAGGTTTAATGTTTAAGCTAGTTTTTGCAGCAACCCAAGCATTGCATTTCTTCAAGGACAAAGATTTTCGTTTGAAGCCAATATAGATAATGAACATGATGAATTCGTGCATTTATTGAAAAAAAAGACAAATGTATGAAGCAAAATGAATTTTCGAAAGTTCATAGAATGTCAACGGATTATAGCATGTTTGTTATTGCTTTTTTGAATACGTCGAAAAAATCCAAAACACTGATTTATTGATGTTATTCCGCTAACGGGTACAAAACTTTCCTTAATCGATTTGTGATTTCACTGATTGAAAATCGAACATTAGTGTTGTTTGCAGGCGTGTAAAATTTACACGAGGATTTAATGTCGCGAACTAGTTTTTTGCAATGTGATTGGAATGTGATTAATAAAATTTGAATCTTTCAATAACTAATGCTGCCTAGTTATTTGCGCTCGTATTTTTTTTGAAGACTATAAAAAATTACTCGTCGGATGTATTGAGACGTAGAATTTGAAGTCTTTGATTTAAATTCGTAATCTAAATTATTTTTAGTTTTAAAGGTCTTTTTTGAGACTCGATGGTCACACCACATGAGTTAATTCTGATTGGTGGATAACTCGATTAGTTTCAAATTGAATACACCGTCTGTTCGTCACAATATCTAATTTTCGGCCAGATAGTTTTCCTGCACTGATCTTAGTTTGCTCTCATTTCCTAAGGCTCAATAGATGCTAAGAAATACTAAAAAAAAACATTTAGTTGGAGATGAACTTAATTTCGTTCATTTTCTATAAAGGTGGGACTGACTATGAACAGTCAAAATTTACAAGGTTAAAAAAGTTATTTATTGATTACGACTGGTTAGCAATAAATACTTTACAATTATATTAAGACAAACGACATGAAAAATGAAGCAATAAATAAACGAGAAACTTCGAAATTGCAGCCGACAGTACTAGTCAACTAGTTTAGACATCAACATTAGATTAGGTTATGGATTTAAAAAATACAAAAAACCAGCTTACCGGGCAGAAGCAGTCTTTTTTCACTAGAGCTCAACGTTTAGAACAGTTAAAAAGGTGTAAGATAGGAATCAAGAACCTGACTTGTTTTTATGGGTCCTTGATGTATACGCTGGTTTGTATTGCCTTGAAACATTTGTAATCAGTACACCAAAACACGTCAATCTATTACAGTTCTAAATTTTCCCGAAAAACAAACATCAAAAAATTAAGCACGCTACTGTCCTCGCCGCACAGCTTCAAATTTAATACAATTTAAAAATGTGTTTTTAGCAGTTTTGTTGTTTCTACAGATCCAGCAACCAGTGAGAGAACAGGAGAAACAGAGGAAAACCCCACAGAGGAAAATACTGTTCACACATCGAGCCAAACATTTACGGATTTGATAAGCTCGTTTTCAACAAGCACATTTATACAATCCTTTTTTACGACACTAGCAACTCTATCGGATGTTGAGGAACTCTTAACGACCACAATCGTTCCCCAAACTTTTTCGATTTCGCCCGAAAGTACAAAACTTGACGAACTGACGTCGAGTACTACATTGGAAACTGAATCGGAAACGTCAGCAGATAATAATAGTCCATCTACTTCGACAGAAACTGACATTTCTGATTCAATTACTGCAACTCTAAGCAATATTACAGTTACAATGGATACTGCTGGAACGAATTCGCAAACAAGTGCAGTGACGAATAGTTTAAATACTATTAACAACAGTGAAAAAACCGATTCAATTTCGATCACACCTTCCACACAAGAAAGTCCCGCCTCATCAGTAGTGTCCTCCAGTCATGGCGAATCAATTGGAGATTTAGAGTCACCAGCCAGTGAAGGCGGATCAGGCTCTGGAGTCAGTGGAAGTCCAGGAAGCAGTGGAAGCGAGAATGGTGATAACTCTGATAGCTCGAATGGTAAGAACAAAAACACCAATATCCAAACCGACGTGCACATCGACGCAAGTAAAAAACATAATTTCAACTTCAACATGCCCCCCACATCAATGATCAGGAAGAGATCGGTAGACAGAAAAGGATTTTACATCTCATGTGACCGCCACTGAAAGCAGTTTACGAGCAGGCGCAACGAGTTTATCAATAGTACTTGTTGTTTCAGTGACCAGAAGTACAGTTCCTGAGACGGCTGAAGAAAAGACGAAAGTCCCAGACGTCACCGAACCAGCAATCACGACTTCGGAAGCTACACCAACAACGAAGGCAAACGGTGATCATCCGACAACACCAGGAACGAAAACACTGGAACCGACAGCACCAGAACCGACAGCACCAGAACCGACAACACAAGAACCGACAACACAAGAACCGACATCAACAGAACCGACATCAACAGAACCGACAGCACCAGAACCGACAGCACCAGAACCGACAACACAAGAACCGACAACACAAGAACCGACATCAACAGAACCGACAGCACCAGAACCGACAACAACCAAAGATGTTTCAAATGCAACACCAACGATGCCTGATGTCACCACGTTAGAGGCCACAACGGCGTTTATTCAATCATCTGGGTCAAGTGGTAGCCTACCAGTAATTCCCGAATCGACAATAGCCGAAGACACTACAACTGTAACACAAAAAATAGCCGAGGGCACAAAAACGACAGCAAGTAGTGCAGCTGCGTACAGTTCAGTTCAAACTCCCTCAGGAGATAGTTCTACAAAAGCAGAGACAATCCCAGACCAAACTTCTGCTGACAAATCATCGACTTTAATAAGTGGTAAATCCGAACTTCCTGAGACAGATTTTGTCACCATAACTCAAATTGGAACGACGAGTAACCCAGAACAAGCTGCGACCACAATTGCATCGCCAAAGATTTCAATAAGTAGCTATTCTACTCTGTCCGCTAAACATGACACGACTCCAGTTGAACCGTCAAACGAAAACAGTTTCTCAACAAGCACAAACAGCAAAATTATAACCAATGATCGCGAAACATCGACTTCTTCTGAACCTGGTGACATCTTCAGCCAAGCTTCGTCTCAAATCACGCCTATTGTCGAGCCAAATGAAACACAAACATCAGTAAAACCAACAAATACCAAAACAGGAGGTGCCATAGAACCGGATACGGTAACTGCCAGTGCTCCAGAAAAATCGAGCACATCTTTAGTAGATGAGACAACGGTTCAATCTCAAAGTATCTCGACAATAGCCGAAACGCATACAGCAGAAATAATTTCACAACCACAATCAACGAATGAAGAGTTATTAACTTCATCAGAACAAAGGAAGTTCACACCTACACTTTCTTTTGAAAACACCGGAACGTCAAACGCAGTGGAAACAACAACCGAATCCAACCAAACTTTTCAAAGTTCGGGTCCCAGTGTAACATTGACAGCAGAAACGATTTCAGAAAACCCAAAACCAGATGGAATGACAACTCGTACAACTGTAACCGCGGAACTCCCAACAGCAAGCTCTCTTGAAAATTCAGAGACATCAGTTGCAGCCGGAACATTGACTCAATCGTTACTTTTATCGTCAACTATCGACTCAACTAAAGAATCAATTACAGCTGATACAACTTTACTAAAGCCGCCAACAACGGTTATTTTTTCGACGTCTGCAGCAACTTCTAGTCTAATCGATGTTTTGACCACATCTGTTGGAGCGAACACGTCTAATCAAGAATCAGAAAACTCGCCGACGTTTGTGACAAACGAATCACCAGCGCATCAAGATACTGTGCCAGAGCATGCGACAACCGAAACAACGCTTTCTCCGTCCAACGATGTTGAGATCCTGACTACGTCACGTGCTTCAACAGCCGGTGGCACATCGTTGCAATTAAATGAGAACTCAACGATTTTCGAGACAACTGAAGCTGAGACTTCGGTTAAAACAAAAGTAACCCAAACGTCAGTGGAAACGGTTAACACGACGATCACTCCTGAAAAAACGAACACCTCCGTTTCAGGGAGTCTATCAATAGCGAACTCGTCAATCTTCGATCCGGCTGAACCAGCAACATCAGAGAACCCTTCGATGCAACAAACGACAGCGGAAACGTTTTACTCGGCATCCACAGAAACAGAGGTTACTTCTGTCGCTGCTCCGGAAAACTTAAGTGCTTCAGTTACAGCGAAATGGTCAACTGAAACAACACAAAACACATCGACCTTTGAGTCAAATGGAACAGCCACGTCCGAAAAACCTTCAAAAAAATCAACTATAAGAAAAACGACACTTTCGATATCTTCAGAAGCTGGGGATAGATCGAGTCAGTCATCACATGGCTTGCTCACTACTGCGCTGGTTGACCACTTAACTTCAGAGCAGATTACAGAGCTACCCCCAACTATCGAAACGGCTTTGTCGCCGACAAAAACCACAGCCGGTAATTCTCTCGTGAGTGTGAGCACTTCCACTGCCAATGATATACACACCACGACGCTTGAGCTGAACAAACAGTCAACATCAGAGCAAATTACAGAGCTACCACCAACCATCGAAACGCCTGGGTCGCCGACAAAAACCACAGCCAATAATTCTCTCGTGAGTGCTAGCACTTCGATTGCCGAAGGTATACAAACCACTACGCTTGACCTTAACAAACAGTCATCATCAGAGCAGATTTCAGAGCTACCCCCAACCATCGAAACAGCTATATCGCTGACAAAAAGCACAGCCGGTAATTCTCTCGTGAGTGCAAGCACTTCAATTGCCGACGGTATACACACCAAGACACTTGAGCTGAATAAACAGTCAACATCAGAGCAGATTTCAGAGCTACCCCCAACCATCGAAACGACTATATCGCCGACAAAAACTACGACCGGTAGTTTTCTCAATATTGCGAGTACTTCCAATGCCGAAAGTATGCACACCACGACGCTTCAGTTGAATAAACAGTCAACATCAGAGCAGATTTCAGAGCGACCCCCAACCATCGAAACGGCTATTTCGCCCACAAAAACCACGGCTGGTAGTTCTTTCAATAGTGCGAGTTTTTCAAATACCGAAGATATACACACCACGAAGCTTGAGCTGAACAAACAGTCAACATCAGAGAACATTACAGAGCTACCACCAACCATCGAAACGCCTGTGTCGCAGACAAAAACCACAGCCAATAATTCTCTCGTGAGTGCAAGCACTCCGATTGGCGACAGTATACACACAACGACACTTGAGTTGAATAAACAGTCAACGTCAGAGCAGATTTCAGAGCTACCACCAACCATCGGAACGGCTCAATCGCCCTCAAAACCCACAGCCACCAGTTCACTCAAAAGTGCGAGTACATCTACTGCCGAAGGTATACAAACCACTACGCTTGACCTAAACAAACAGTCATCATCAGGGAAGATTTCAGAGCTACCCCCAACCATCGAAACAGCTATATCGCTGACAGAAATCACAGCCGGTAATTCTCTCGTGAGTGCAAGCACTTCGATTGCCGACGGTATACACACCAAGACACTTGAGCTGAATAAACAGTCAACATCAGAGCAGATTTCAGAGCTACCACCAACCATCGGAACGGCTCAATCGCCCTCAAAACCCACAGTGGCCAGTTCTCTCAATAGTGCGAGTACTTCTACTGCCGAAGGTATACAAACCACTACGCTTGACCTAAACAAACAGTCATCATCAGAGCAGATTTCAGAGCTACCCCCAACTATCGAAACAGCTACATCGCTGACAAAAACCACGGCCGGTAAATCTCTCGTGAGTGCAAGCACTTCAATTGCCGACGGTATACACACCAAGACACTTGAGCTGAATAAACAGTCAACATCAGAGCAGATTTCAGAGCTACCCCCAACCATCGAAACGGCTACATCGCCGACAAAAACCACGGCTGGTAGTTCTCTCAATAGTGCGAATACTTCTACTGCCGAAAGTATTCACAACACCACGACGCTTGAGTTGAAAAAACAGTCATCAGAGCAGATTTCAGAGCTACCCCCAACTATCGAAACGGCTATATCGCCGACAAAAACTACGGCCGCAAGTTCTCTAGTAAGTGTGAGTACTTCCACTGCCGATAGTATACGCACCACAACGCTTGAGTTTAGTAAACAGTCAATGTCAGAGCAGATTTCAGAGCTACCACCAACCATCGAAACGGCTCAATCGCCCTCAAAACCCAAAGCCACCAGTTCTCTCAAAAGTGCGAGTACATCTACTGCCGAAGGTATACAAACCACTACGCTTGACCTAAACAAACAGTCATCATCAGAGCAGATTTCAGAGCTACCCCCAACCATCGAAACAGCTATATCGCTGACAAAAACCACAGCCGGTAATTCTCTCGTGAGTGCAAGCACTTCAATTGCCGACGGTATACACACCAAGACACTTGAGCTGAATAAACAGTCAACATCAGAGCAGATTTCAGAGCTACCCCCAACCATCGAAACGGCTACATCGCCGACAAAAACCACGGCTGGTAGTTCTCTCAATAGTGCGAATACTTCTACTGCCGAAAGTATTCACAACACCACGACGCTTGAGTTGAAAAAACAGTCATCAGAGCAGATTTCAGAGCTACCCCCAACTATCGAAACGGCTATATCGCCGACAAAAACTACGGCCGCAAGTTCTCTAGTAAGTGTGAGTACTTCCACTGCCGATAGTATACGCACCACAACGCTTGAGTTTAGTAAACAGTCAATGTCAGAGCAGATTTCAGAGCTACCACCAACCATCGAAACGGCTCAATCGCCCTCAAAACCCAAAGCCACCAGTTCTCTCAAAAGTGCGAGTACATCTACTGCCGAAGGTATACAAACCACTACGCTTGACCTAAACAAACAGTCATCATCAGAGCAGATTTCAGAGCTACCCCCAACCATCGAAACAGCTATATCGCTGACAAAAACCACAGCCGGTAATTCTCTCGTGAGTGCAAGCACTTCAATTGCCGACGGTATACACACCAAGACACTTGAGCTGAATAAACAGTCAACATCAGAGCAGATTTCAGAGCTACCACCAACCATCGGAACGGCTCAATCGCCCTCAAAACCCACAGTGGCCAGTTCTCTCAATAGTGCGAGTACTTCTACTGCCGAAGGTATACAAACCACTACGCTTGACCTAAACAAACAGTCATCATCAGAGCAGATTTCAGAGCTACCCCCAACTATCGAAACAGCTATATCACTGACAAAAACCACAGCCGGTAATTCTCTCGTGAGTGCAAGCACTTCAATTGCCGACGGTATACACACCAAGACACTTGAGCTGAATAAACAGTCAACATCAGAGCAGATTTCAGAGCTACCCCCAACCATCGAAACGGCTACATCGCCGACAAAAACCACGGCTGGTAGTTCTCTCAATAGTGCGAGTACTTCTACTGCCGAAAGTATTCACAACACCACGACGCTTGAGTTGAAAAAACAGTCATCAGAGCAGATTTCAGAGCTACCCCCATTTATCGAAACGGCTATATCGCCGACAAAAACTACGGCTGCAAGTTCTCTAGTAAGTGTGAGTACTTCCACTGCCGATAGTATACGCACCACAACGCTTGAGTTTAGTAAACAGTCAACGTCAGAGCAGATTTCAGAGCTACCACCAACCATCGGAACGGCTCAATCGCCCTCAAAACCCACAGCCACCAGTTCTCTCAAAAGTGCGAGTACATCTACTGCCGAAGGTATACAAACCACTACGCTTGACCTAAACAAACAGTCATCATCAGAGCAGATTTCAGAGCTACCCCCAACCATCGGAACAGCTATATCGCTGACAAAAACCACAGCCGGTAATTCTCTCGTGAGTGTGAGCACTTCAATTGCCGACGGTATACACACCAAGACACTTGAGCTGAATAAACAGTCAACATCAGAGCAGATTTCAGAGCTACCACCAACCATCGGAACGGCTCAATCGCCCTCAAAACCCACAGTGGCCAGTTCTCTCAATAGTGCGAGTACTTCTACTGCCGAAGGTATACAAACCACTACGCTTGACCTAAACAAACAGTCATCATCAGAGCAGATCTCAGAGCTACCCCCAACTATCGAAACAGCTATATCGCTGACAAAAACCACAGCCGGTAATTCTCTCGTGAGTGCAAGCACTTCAATTGCCGACGGTATACACACCAAGACACTTGAGCTGAATAAACAGTCAACATCAGAGCAGATTTCAGAGCTACCCCCAACCATCGAAACGGCTACATCGCCGACAAAAACCACGGCTGGTAGTTCTCTCAATAGTGCGAGTACTTCTACTGCCGAAAGTATTCACAACACCACGACGCTTGAGTTGAAAAAACAGTCATCAGAGCAGATTTCAGAGCTACCACCAACCATCGGAACGGCTCAATCGCCCTCAAAACCCACAGTGGCCAGTTCTCTCAATCGTGCGAGTACTTCTACTGCCGAAGGTATACAAACCACTACGCTTGACCTAAACAAACAGTCATCATCAGAGCAGATTTCAGAGCTACCCCCAACTATCGAAACAGCTATATCGCTGACAAAAACCACAGCCGGTAATTCTCTCGTGAGTGCAAGCACTTCAATTGCCGATGGTATACACACCAAGACACTTGAGCTGAATAAACAGTCAACATCAGAGCAAATTTCAGAGCTACCCCCAACCATCGAAACGGCTATATCGCCGACAAAAACCACGGCTGGTAGTTCTCTCAATAGTGCGAGTACTTCTACTGCCGAAAGTATTCACACCACCACGACGCTTGAGTTGAAAAAACAGTCATCAGAGCAGATTTCAGAGCTACCTCCAATCATCGAAACGGCTATATCGCCCACAAAAACCACGACCGGTAGTTCTCTCACTATTGCGAGTACTTCCACTGCCGATAGTATACGCACCAAAACGCTTGAATTGAATAAACAGTCAACATCAGAGCAGATTTCAGAGCTACCCCCAGCCAACGAAACGGCTATAACGACGACAAAAACGACGGTTGCTAGTTCTCCCATGAGTGGGACTACTTCTACGGCCGAAGATATACACACCACGACTCTTGAATTGAACAAACAGTCAACATCAAAGCAGACTACAGAGCTATCCCCAACCATCGAAACGGCTATGTCGCCGTTAAAAACCACAGCCGCTAATTCTCTCGTGAGTGCAAGCACTTTGATTGCAGACGGTATACACACCACGACACTTGAGTTGAAAAAACAGTCAACATCAGAGCAGATTTCAGAGCTACCCCCAACCATCGAAACGGCTATACCGCCTACAAAAACCACGGCCGGTAGTTCTCTCAAAAGTGAGAATACTTCTACTGCCGAAGATATACACACCATGACATCTGAGTTGAATAAACAGTCAACATCGGAGCAGATTACAGAGTTATCCCCAACCATCGAAACGGCTATGTCACCGTTAAAAACCACAGCCGGTAATTCTCTCGTGAGTGCAAGCACTTCGATTGCCGAAAGTATACGCACCTCGACGTTTGAGTTGAATAAACAGTCAACATCAGAGCAGATTTCAGAGCTACCCCCAGCCAACGAAACGGCTATAACGACAACAAAAACCACGGCCGGTAGTTCTCCCATGAGTGCGAGTACTTCTACTGTCGAAGATATACACACCACGACACTTGAGTTGAATAAACAGTCAACATCAAAGCAGATTTCAGAGCTACCCCCAGCCAACGAAACGGCTATAATGCCGACAAAAACCACGGCCGGTAGTTCTCCCATGAGTGCGAGTACTTCTACTGTCGAAGATATACGCACCACGACACTTGAATTGAACAAACAGTCAACATCAGAGCAGATTACAGAGCTATCCCCAACCATCGAAACGGCTATATGGCCCACAAAAACCATGGCCGGAAGTTCTCTCAATAGTGCGAGTACTTCTACTGCCGAAGGTATACAGACCACGACGCTTGAGCTGAACAAACAGTCAACATCAGAGCAGATTTCAGAGCTAACCCCAATCATCGAAACGGCTATGTCGTCGACAAAAACATCAGAGCAGGCTTCAGGAAGCCTACCGACTACCGCAAGTAAACTTTCATCGTCCATGGAAACACAAGCCACAGATGTCGCTACCCCTGAAAATATGAATACGTCTCAAACTGGCGACTTATCGTTTGCGGTCACTGAGTCAGGAAGAACGGATAGGCCTTCTCTACAACCAACTTTGAGTGAAAACATGTCGCTAGAAACTCCCGAAAGATTCAGTAGTACTGTAACAGTTGAGGAAACAAATTCATCAACGAACACCTCGTCCACTTTTCCTCCCGAAAGATTCAGTAGTAATGTGACAGTTGAGCAAACAAATCCATCAACGAACGCCTCGTCCACTTTTCAGCCGGGTGGACTCTTAACGTCAGAGCAAACTTTGGTGCCACAATCTACAACCAAAAACGATTTAGCATCGACAGAAATCAACACGGGTGGTCCAGCCGTAGATTCGGGTACATCCTTTACCGGGAATACATCAGCCCAAACGCCAATTGAAATGACGACGCTCGAGTTACAGGAACCATCAATGTCACAGCAGACTTCAGGACATGTACCACCCACACCAACTACTTACTCGACTTCCACAGAAACACGGGTTACGACTTTCATTCCTCCTGATGAAACAAATACATTTCGCACTGGCGATTCATCAACTCAGTCAGCAGAAAATGCGTCAAATTTTGAGACGACAGAATCAGCATTGTCGGAAACGCCTTCTTTTCAATCACCCTTCAGTAATTCTGTAGCAGAAACAAGTCAATCGGAAAAAATCTCGTCAACTAATGTGCCAAATGGGCTCTCAACTTCGGATCAGACGTTGGAGCAAACATCTATAACCGAAATAAATTTAGTGTCAACAGAAGTCACGACTGATGTTTCTCTCGTAAAAGCGAGTACTACTGTTTCCGGGGAAAAATCCGCTCAAACACCTGTATACACAACAACACTTGAGATGAAAGAACCAACACCGCCAGAACAGTCTTCAATAAAACCAACTACAACCATAACTGAATACTCGTCGTCCACAGAAATAGAGGTCACGACTGTTATTCGTTCCGATCTATCAAGTACCGCTGTGACAGACAACTTTTCAACTCAATCTAAATCAAATGAACCCACTTTTGTGCCAAATAATTCAGCAACAGCAATGAGTTCTGCCATGCAAACATCATTAAACGGAACAGTAACCTCGCTTTCCACAGAAACTAATGGTAAGACTTCTGGTCCACTCGAAAATTCTAGCAGCTCTATGACAGTGACTGATTCAACTCCATCACCAGAAGCATCGTTGACTACTGCCATGAATGAGCAGTCAACGACAGAGGAGAGTTTGGAACAATCATCCACATACAAAACCACATTGCCACAACTCACACAATTCACAATTGACAGTACTGCTGAAACACCAATAGGGACATCAGTAGAGCTGAAAGAATCAACGACATTTCCAGAATTCACGACTGCTTCTTTTTCTGAAATACCTAGCATCTCTGTTACTGGGGAATTATTAACTCAATTAACAGCAGAAAACACATCGACTTTTGAGCAGAGTCAGCCAATGACATCCGAGAAGCCTTCAGCTCAATCAACATTAAATGGAACGATACGTTCTTCGTACTTGATAACAGATTTGACGTCGACTGGCCCTCTTGGAATTTCAAGTAATTCTATGTCAGCAGATAAGCCGACTCAGTCGCCAGAAGTATCGCCATCTATAGAGCCCATTGAATCAACAATGGAGCAGGCTTCAGAGCAACCTACGGCAGAAACGACATTGTTGTCGACAGAAATAACGACTGGCGATTCTCGCATAGGCAGTAACACTTCTGGATCGTCCGAATCACCCACATTCGAGTTGAATGAACTTTCAACCTCAGAGCAAACTTCAACCAACCGATTGACAACTGCAACAGGGGACTCACCGACAACAGAAATGGTATTCACGACTGTCGTTCCATCTGATAACTCGAATACTTCTGTAGCGGGTTATAAATCAAATCAAACTACTAACAATGTGTGGACTTTTAATTCAACTGAACCAGGGATATCCGAAAATGTTTCATTACAAACAACGACAAGTGAAAGACTTTTTTCATCGTCCACTGAAACAGAAGTCACGACTGTTGTCGCCCTTGCACCTTCCAATACCTCTTCTGCGAGTGAATCCTCGATTCCATCATCAGAAAACTCATCGCTTGTCCAGCCGACAACCAGAGCAACGTCAGAGGAGCCTGCAACTAAATCACCATCAGCTACGAACACGGTTTTCTCTTTATCTACAGAAACGCAAGCCTCAATTTTTGTTACAGTTCAAAACATAAGTTCTTCTGTTGCAGAAGACAGTGCGACTCCATCATTAGAAACCTCGACGCATTTTGAGCCCTCAAAATTGGAAACATCAGCGGAGACATCGGTAGGACCGCCTACAACTGAAATGAACACTGTTTCCTCGGAACTAGAGTCCGCTACCAAAAACAGCATTGATTCATCAGAATCTACAGCATATAACTCAAGCATTATAAAAGCAGAAACTACTGCTCCTTCGACATACTTTACAACCACTGGAGATACTGCTGGATTTAATTCAACCACATTTGAAACTACGGCTAACCATAGAAGCAGTTCAATAACTGATAGTTCCAATTATACAAGTGAGGGTACTACTGGTTACTCTATGGACTCATCGATCTCCTTTAGTGGTGTTTACACTTCATCCGCTCATAGTGTCATGTCAACTGACATAGCACTTCCGTCAGAAGAGACATCTTCGGACACGCTTTCGACCTACGAACTCATTAGTACCGGATCCCATTCAGACGCTAGCCAGACTATTTCTGCGTACTCAGAGAGTCAATACCAATCCGATTTCTCAACTTCCTATGTTGAGTCGCAACTATCGAGCACGACAACTATTCGATCTCGGAACAGTACGGTATCAGAAAACGAAGAGAGCCCGATTAACACAACCACCATTCGGCCGAGAAATACGACAAATGATGAACCGGATTTCGTTTCGACAACGACGATTCGGCCAAGAAATACCACAAGTTATAAACCGGATTCCACATCGACAACGACTATTCGGCCAAGAAATACGACAACATGGAAACAGGATTTGAGATCGACAACGTCAATTCGGTCGAGAAATACGACAGCTGAGAAACCTGACCTTGAAATAACTACAACAGTTCGACCGGAAAATACGACAAAATCCGAAAAGCTGTCAACAATGCAGTTGATAAATACAAGCTCATCAGAGCTAGTCAACTTAACGTCCCAGGGACCAGAAATTCCCATCGGTTGGATCAATCAGATCAAAAATTTGTTCAATAGAATGAAAGTTCCAATTGTCGTGACAAACAAATTTATATTTAATAATCATAGTAATATTAGTATTCAGTCAATCTTTTCACGCAGAAATGCCAATCCTCACCGGAACTGACTTAAATTAGGTAAATGATGTTATGAGGTAATAATAAAGTATCAACAACACCAACCAAGCTAATAGTTATTGTTTATTTTAGTATTCAAATAGATTCAATTGAAGTTGTGGTAATGGAGATTTTTAAACTGATAAGCAGAAACGTATGTCTGAATTTCTAAGAAGTCATTTGAAAATTCTAAGGTGAATTTTTAGACACAGAGGCAAAGTCGAGCTTCGCATCACTTGCGTTACTACAGAATAGCATAGCAAGCTAGCAGACAGGAAAAAAAAGAACCACTAAATCCAAAGAAATCGGAAATTTTTTTCGAAGAAACCACAACTTAAAAAAATGTTGGCTGGAATGGCTGAAAACTTGTTGCCTGAAATAATTGCTGCAAACATGTCCGAAAATTTCCCGTTTGAAAAAAAACAGGTCCTGGTCAGATTCAAACCCATGACATTTGGCGCCCCAGGCGTAATCGTTACCTCCACACTAAGTGTGCAAGAGACGCTTAGAAAGTTTGAATTTATTGTGAACCAAGAGACCAAGTGAGTCCGTTAACCTAGTTGTTGAACGAAAAAAATCTACATTCCGATTTGATAAACCTTGCTAATCGCAAGCGTAACAAGGAGGCATTAAATCGGGCCGCCGCGTTGCTGAGTTAGAATATAATTACCAAGGAACCTTTCAACCCAAAGGTTTGTTAAGGAATTTCTTGACGTTCGAGCCGCCTATATGTTATTTCTTGGAAGAAAATGAGACTTTTGGCGGATTTTTGAAGTGTTTTGATATTAATCTACAGATATCAAGACTTGATGAGCGCGATAAAAAATTTTTTACTGGAAAAGTCTTTTCAGGCTCAAACTTTCTTTTTCGCGGTTTGACTTTTGATTTTTGATCTGTTTTAAGTTCAGTTCAGTTCCTTTGTTATACTGAACTGAAATTGAAAAGAAATCAAAAGTCAAACCGTGAAAAATGTAAACTTGACAAACTCCACTATCAAAAAGCAAAAAAGTAAGGGCCACAGAAAACGTGATCGACTTCTAATTTAGAAAATCGAATTTAATTGTCAGATTTCCAACCGAAATAAAAGTTTTACCTATTAATCCAGGTTTACCAACAGATCCAGATTTCTCAGTGAAATAAAAATTTTATATATTGATCCAAAAAAAACACAAACCGGTGTTTTTTTTCTACTTACTCACATTCATTGACTCTTTTCTAACTGTTTATTTGTTATGATTACATGACCTAGATAGGATATGACTCCTATGGTTGATTAAAAGAGTAATTTAAGCTAACACTGTGCATTTTTGCGTGAAATGAGCGAGTCTGGAACTAAACTTTTGTGCATGTCATACGGTCTCTTTTCGCATCTGACAAATTTATACAATGAAGTTAAAATACAATTAATAGTAATCGCATGACGTGGAAAGTCAAAACTCCTCCTCAAAGTACCCAAAAATGACACAAAACAAGGATCGAAAGCTGCTACGGCTGCCATCTGTAGGGCAAACATATCCCGGTGTCGCTGCGTCATGAAACAAATGAAAAGAATTTCAAAAAACTTTGAACAATTCCATTCAAACAGAATGATTATACAGGGCGAAGCGGAGCTTTGAAACACTTGCGATACATCACGCATATAACATTAAAAAGAAAACATTGTCGAACAAACGTATGTCTCGGATGAAGTTCAATTAAAGGAAATACACCTCAAGCAACTATTGTTAAGCATTGAAACGGCACGGAAAAAAGTTAAGCGAGCAATAATTAGTCAGACAATACTTGCACAGACATTTGCTGAAACGAAAAAAAAGACTGTTGAATTCCTTTTCAAAAAAAAATTAACTTTTTTTTAAGCTTGGGTGCCTAATTTCCACAATGCGGTAACTGCGATGCACACTAACATAAAACAAAGAAAATCGAAAGGAAAAATGTAGAAAAAAATAGATCAACCAAAAGTTTTTTATTTCGCGATAGAAGTTCATTTTAGGCAATCATGCCCAGCAAAACATTTTGAATATTAAATCAGTAAAAAACATTTTGAAAAAACCTCTGGAACGCTAAAAACATTTATTCCAGCGATGATTCATTACTTATTGTTCGACAATTTAAAAAAGATGGTGAAACTTTGTATTGTAATTTTGTGTTTTAGTACTTTTTTTTTGTTTTCCACGCATTATCTAGCACGACAAATAACCATCGGAATGGGTCGAGCTATATATCATATTAAAGCCCTTTCAGTCGTAATTCGAACGACTTTTGAGTATTTTCGAAAAAAATTTGTTGATTATTTTTTGTTTTTCTAGTCTGTTTTGCAGTTGGCCTTTTTGAATTGCCTGCTTGATTTTTTTAGTGTGCAGCTGTTTTAAAAGAGATTGGTAGGTTTGGTCGGCGAAAGAACTTAGCTCGTTAAAGTCTTAACAGTTGTAAAAGACTCATTTGCTGTGTCTTGTAGGATATGTTCTATTGCTGGACTAAACACATCATTTATTGACGTGCGAAGTTTTGGGGAGGTGTGGGGCGATGGTGATTAAAAATTAAAGGGTTTGAGAGGATATAAGGTAAATTAAGCGGAAAGTAGTTTATAATTATGTACAACATATAAAATTTTACGTTCAGAATGTAAATGTTCTGTAGCACTCATTTTTGTACCAACCGTTATAAAGCGGAGAGCGGCGGTTTGAACTACTTGAAGTATGTTTAAAGACGAGAAACTGGTGACATGTGACCATGCGTAACCTGAAATTGGTTTGACCAAATCCTTGTAGAAAACCAGTTATGCCTTTCTTGACTCTCCCAAAGAAGGCCTTCAGGATCGCTATCCTGCGCGAAGCTTTCGCTGGCATTCGCTTACAGTGCTTTTCGGAATATCTTGTTTTTTCATCAAAAATCTCCTCCAGCCTTTTCAACACGGAATTCAACACCGGTTCTACAGTAAAAAAGGACAATACACCCCTACTCTTGGAGAAGCATTTGAAAATTTTGAGCTGAAGTTTAGGTAGGGGTGTATTGTCCATTTCTACTAGAGGACCGGTGTTGAGTTCCTCGTTGAACGAGGATAAAAGGCTGGCGGAGATTTTTGATGAAAAAAAACAAGATATCTGGATGTAAAAAAAACTAATTTAACTCAAGTACGTAGTTTGATAGGGTAGATGAGACATTTTAAAAGTTGTTTGACTACACACAGGAGTGGAAACTGTCTGCGTATGATTGTAGTTTAACTTCAGTGGAGACAGTGACGCATCATGAACGTAAAAAATGAATGAAGTTGGCGATAGGACTGAGCCTTGCGGGAAACCTGTACGTACAATCCTGGATGTAGACAGAGCGTCCCTAAAAAAGTTTTTCGCCTGGCGAACACTCAAAAAAGCTACCCGGTACGCTGGTGCCATGAAGGAGATCCATGAGAGTTCGATGGCAGAGCATAACGGATGAGTCTAGTGGGTTCAAAACTGTTCTAGAGGGTGGCCTTTCATTTTAAAATCCAGCACTGATTCGACGACCGATAATGTCGTAGCGGTTGAGTTCCTTGAGCGAAAGCCATGTTGATTGACGGCTTTTGGTAGATGTTAAATCAGGGTTGGGTGGAATAGCGACTCTAAAATTTTAACAGTTGGGCTTAAAATCGAGAAAGGGCGGTAGGATTCTAATAATTTTAGGTCTTTGCTAGGTTTCGAGAGGGGTACTACTTTTGAATTCTTTCAGATTTGGGGGATGATGTTAAGAGACTGACAGCAATCTGTCTCAAACAAAGATTTAAAATGTTTGTTAAAGCTAATAGCTAGCGGAACAAGATGATTGAGATGCACCGTGCAGAGACTGTCTGGTCCAAAGGCTTTAGACGGCTTTATCAACTTAATACATTTTTCCAGTTCGATTGTTATAAAACTTAAAGAGTCAGCTAAGCTAGGTTTGAGAGATTTTTTTTGTGTCTTTGAGCTTTGTTGCTTTCATGCATTGTTAGCCGGAGGCCTTGTACATTAAAAGCAATTGCAATGTCTTTCGCCCTTAAAATTTTTCTGTCATTAAAACTGATAGGATGGATTCCTTCTACGGACTTAGAGCCATTCACCAATCTAACAATTTTTCATAAATTACTAGACGACGTATGATGACAAAAAGTCTGGAGTAATTTTTGGTATTTCTTATCTTTTTATTGGCCCTTTTGGTCAGGATTTCTCTTCTTAGGTAGCTTAAAAGTGGATCGGACGGATTTAAAGTTCTGATAAAGTCTTTGTTGGGCTAGTTTGTTTGTTTCGTCAATTGGGGCGAGGACAAAGAAAGGATGGCGGTCTAGGGGAATGTGGTGACTGGCTGCTGAGAGGAACGTATCACTAAAAATCCGTTCAGCGACATTAACATCTAGTTTCATATATTTCTCTGCAAAAGTATCTTAGGTTTCATTTGTCAAAAGAATTTTCAGTCCGCTTTATTTAAACTTGAAAAACTTTTTTGAGGCGCACAAGGAATATCCTCGGTAATGTCAAGATTAATTAAAATTAGTAGGTGGTCTGAAATTAGAAGGTGATATTGATTAAAGTTAGTAGGTTGTTTTTTCAGGCGCAAAAGGGATATTCTCAGTAATGGTGATATTCACTAAAATTAGTAGGTGGTCCCAGTTTGCCATGCAAGATTAAGTAAAACTGAGAAAGATGCGAGTGATACGTCAGTGGATGTTGCCGATGGATTTCTATCACATGGTAGTCTAAATTGATGGTTATCATCAAGTGCGGTGGAGGAGTATTATTGAAAAATTTCGGCACTACGGTTTGCCCCGCGTTAGTCCTATGGTATATTAGAGGACGAAAATCGGTAGTGCGCGTTTGCATCGCCCAGTAAAATGCTTTTTTCTTCTGAGAGGAGAGCTGAGATTGATAGTTTATAGTCCTTAGGACAGCTACTGTGATGAGGTATACAGAAATTCGTGATACGGAATTCTGATTATTGGCCTTGATGTTAACGCTTTGCGCCTCTAGAATTCCTTCTTCCACTGTTTCAATTTCATCGTAGAGAAGAGAATTATGAATTACACGAAAAAGGTCACCTAGCTCTCGTAGTCGGTCTTTTCTGAGTAATGTGTAGTTCGGTCCTAAGAATGGAGTCCAATTTTTCAAATCCAATTTAAATTCTTCAAAAACCTCAATGTGGCTGTGGTAATTGCACAGCAAAGCTACTATTTCAGGTGCTTTCCCAGATATGCCATTACAGTTTAACTGTAGACTGTTCAAGGACTTACGTCGAAAGCGCAAGTGGATTTGCTTGGTTACCTTTTGGCGCATAACTGTTGAACTGTTTCAGCGTGTTAAATCAAGGGATTAATTTTGCTGGTGTAGTTGAAGGGATAGAGCTTAGTCGAGTGATAGTTGTAGAATTAGTTACTGAGAGGAGCAAATTACAGTTTGCTGTGCAGTAGAGACAAAAAATCTGTGGTGCTATTTTAATGTGGCTAGATCACTCCATTTAAAAAAAGAATCCATCCACAAACATGGCACACACATGCTTGCTTGGGAATGGAGGATTTGGAAATTTCACAAAAAGCAGGTGCTTTGGTTTATGCCGGCGCGAATGAGAAGTATTAAGATTAATAGACGGAGCAACCTGGCCGACTTGGAAAGCTCCGTGGCCAAAAACGCAGTCCGAGTTTTTGGCGCTTCCCTGTTGGCGAGGTTGTAATAAGTCCCATTCGCGGCTGTTCCTACAGCAGTCGGGTCCACCATTGGAAGGAGAAACCTCTGGACCTTTAAGACTATGGTCTGAAGATTCTGTGCTAATAGTACAGTAACTTGCTGTCGTTGTTTAGAATAAAATTTGCTTTGGTGATAATAATATATTTTATAAATACATATTATACATAATATACATTTATACATAATATTCAAAATACATATAATTTACATAATATACAATATAAGCATAAAATACATAATATACATAATGTCCATAATAAACGTAAAACACATAGAATACATTATATGCATAAAATACATACTATAGATAATGTACATAATATACAAAACATACATGATATACATAATATACATATATACATATATAAATATATACATATATACAATTAGCACAGATTATATATAACGATGGAAAGAGTCTTTGAACATTACAGCTATGATTTTTTCTTGAAGGCCACCCTGGAATAACGAATTATTTTTAGCATGTGTGAAATCAAGATGGTGGGGGTTAGTTGTGCTGGTGTAGTTGAAGGGATAGATATTGGTCGAGGAATAGTTGTAGAATTAGTTACTGGGAGGAGCAAAATACAATTTGCTGTGCAGTAGGGACAAAAAATCTGTGGTGCTGTTTTAGTGTGGTTAGATCCCTCCATTTAAAAACAATCCATCCACAAACGTGACATTACATGCTTGCTTGGGAACGGAGGATTTCTGAATTTCACAGAGAGCAGGTGTTTTGGTTTATGCCGGCGCGAAGGATTAATGTACGGAGCAACCCGGTCGACCTGGGAAACTCCGTGACCAAAAACCCGGTCCGAGCATTCTTTTGGCGCTTGCCTGTTGGCGAGGTTGTGATAAGTGCCATTTGCGGCTGTTCATACAGCAGTCGGGTCGATCATTGAAAGGAGGCACTTCTGGACCCTTAATACTATGGTCTGAAGATTCTGTGCTAATTGTACTGTAACCGGCTGTCCTTGTTTAGTATAAAATGTGCTTTGGTGATAATAATATATATTTATAAATACATATTATACATAATATACTTATTATACATAATATACATAATATCCATTATCTGCATACTATACATAATATACACAATATACAAAATATACATAGATTACATAAAATTCATGATATACATAATATACATTGAAACCAAAATATACATTTTATACATAATATACATATATACATAATATACATATATACATATATAAATCTATTCATAAATACAGGTAGCACAGAATATATATAACGATGGAAAGAGTCTTTGCACATTACAGCTATGAGTTTTTCTTGAGGGCCACCCTGGAATACCGAATTCATTTTTTAGCAGTCAATGAAATTACGTAGTTTAACTAGAATTATTCAAGTTACGTACGTGTGAAGGCAATCATCAGAAAACGTTGTCGCTCTGACTCAGTTTTTAAACAGTGTAAGAGCCTATAAATACCTATTTTAGTGTAAGAACAGTGAAAGAGCCTATTTTAGGTCGTTACTGTCGCTGCCATTATATACTATTTCCCGTGTCGTGGATAAAAATACATGGAAAAATTTAAATTTGAAATCTTGTCAAACAAAAGTTAGGGTAAAGTTCAGATTATTATAAGAAAAATATGATTAGCACAAGGAAAATGAAATCATTGTATACATGAAGTAACACGGAATTTTTAAGAGCAGCGAAAAAGATTTTCGCCAGTACTTGCGTGGAACAAAAAAAATTAAGGTTGCTTTGAATGAACAACTCAATTCACCTATCAGTGCTCTACGATTTTTCGAATTTTTTTAATTTACAAAACTTTCTTTAATTTTTGTCTAGTGTTAAAGGCCGCGCGCGTCTTACACACCCGCCCATTGAAAGACGAATTACGATTGAAAGGGTTTTAAAATGATACCACAAAACTCAGGACGAGCTTCTCTGGAGGTTCTAACCTAGGTAAAGATGCAGTGGTTCAGACTGCCATGAGCAGATATTCCAAGGAAGACTGGGTTTAATTATCAAGGAAATTAATTATTTAGATAGGTATTTTCCAAAAGTTGGATTTTGAACATTTTACCTTCAGTGACATCAGGATGTTTTGAACATCCTTAGACATATACCTGAAGCTGACGAAAAAAAAATGAAATTAGCCAGCTAGAATAAAAAACGTTGTATTAGAAACAAGCCAAAATGTAATTTAACATAGCTGCGCTTCATAAAAACAAGCGATAGAACGGCAAAAAAGCTCTAAAAATGTTTTGAAAAGTGAAATTAGAAAACGGTGGAAAAAGAAGTATATAATTTTTGACTTAGGCTGGACTTGCATCCCCGACATGGAGATTAAAAGTCTCACGTCATCGCACCTGAGCCAGGATAGCTAATCACTGAGCTAACTTCAGCTATAAATAAAGCAGATACAACAGATGCTAAATGAATGCTAAAGGTAAAATTTTTGATATAGACAAAACTTGAACCCCCGACTTTTAAGACTAAAAGTCTCGCGTTTTTGCATCTGCGCCATGGTCCCTCGACGATCTTCAAATACCGGCTACCAACAAAGATGCTTCTACAGATGCCATTTAATTGCCAATGCTATGTCGGCAAAAGTGCCACTATAGGATCACTTCAATTTGCGAGTTGAGTAAAGTGGACTTCAAGATATGACAATACGTTCACTATCCTGCTTGTGTAATTCAGTGCAACTTAAGACCTAGGAGCTCAAATTTGAAACAAAGGCGAAGCGGAGGTTTGCACCACTTGCGATACAAAACGAATATAGAAAAATGTTTAAGGTAAAAAATGAACAAAATTGAAAAAACTGTCTACCAAAACTTATATTTTCGTTTGTCTCGACAAGATCATTCAAGAAAAACATGCCAGACATTTCAATATTGTATTAGAAACGAAGCAAAAATTACGAAGAGAAAACAAAGCCGACAACGTTTGAGCAGGCACAAGTTGAGCCGAAAAAATATGATTTTATACAAAGAAATTTCAAGTTAAAATGCCCTCGTGAAAATACAATGAAAAAATCTAGCACTTTCAACTACGATGAAAGTTGCTTGTACAAGAAGAAAAATCAGTTATTTGGCAACTAAACCGACTATCTTTGAGCAGACACCAGTTGAGCCGAAAAAAAAATATTTTTGGATTTTTTAAAAATATTTTAAATCCCCACTGAAAATAGAATGAACACCACTAACACTTGCAACTACAGTGGAAATTGCTTACAGCACAAAAAAAATCAGTGCTGTGGCAGCTTAGCCGACGAAAAGTCTTACAATTCAATTTTTCTCGGGCTCTTTTTAGATTAGAAGTTTTAGATTTTCTGCAAAAAAAGAGAAAAGGATATCACAAAAAATATGAAATTTAAATCAACTAAGATTTGACTTAATTTAAGACCGGTAGCATTTTCTTAAAATCTAAAACACCTTAATCCTGAGTTTTTGCCAAAAAAAAGGAAAGTATATCACAGAAAGGCTTGATTTTGAGGCAAATTATGACACTATGAAGACAAAATTGCTTCGCATGATGAGCATACTTTTCTCTTGAAATATCATCAGCTTGAATCGTTTCTTTTAACTGATAAATGCCGCGTTTTAACGCTTCTTGGCCACATGTCTTCTTATTTGATCAAAATTGAGGGCGCAGAAAACACGAGATATTAACTTCTCTCATTAAGTTAGTGAATAGATATAACCAATTAAAAACAAAACTAAGACAATATTTATTCGAAATTTTGGCATAAATGACAAACCAATTAAAACAGATCATCTTCGTCGAAACTTATTTTACGGTTAACAGTTTCTTGTTTCTTCTCGAGTCCATGGTGTTCTGTCAGAGCTTCGACTGCACTTGAGTCACGTGTTGTATCTTCCAGACTATCATCAATATCCCGATCGTTGTCTATTCTTAACTCCCCGCCCTCGTCGTTGCTGTCTCCTATGATATTCTGCTCAATTCTCTTTAAAAGAGTTTTTGTCTGCTCATCCATAATCGAAAACTCTTCGAATTTCTTCACCCTAGTTTTATACATTTGCAGCTTTCTTTTTTCGACAAAGCGGATTACTTTCGAGCAGAACACGAACTCACGAGAATCTTCAAACTCAGATTCCGCAGTCAATTCGTGAATAACGTTTTTAGCTCGGACAAAATCTATGGCCAGTGCACATAACACAGCTTTCATATAATACGCGTTCGATCCAAACTGCAGTAGTTTGCTTTGCGAGGTGAAATTGGCGACTTGTGAGAAATGCTTGAGACCTGATTCGAAATCCGATATTTCCACAGCAAGATTGGCTGCATTTAGGATGCATGTGTTAGCAGTCGAGGGTGACTTGTCGTCTTTGAACAGCTGAGATGCTGAAACATGGAAATGCGATTCATATCGAAAAAGGAAAGAAGTAATACCAAAAAGTAAGTTAGCATCGTTTTCCAACTCAACTTCTGGTTCCATCCATGGATAAAAAACGCTTTTTAACCCCGGTACTACTCATGCAGGGCCAGCTTTTAGTCATCCATTTCGCCGAACCGGTTCAACCTTGAGGAGTCAGATGACTCTGGGAATCCTCCAATCGTGACCGAAGCGGGATTCGAGCTCGATACCTTTGTGTTAAAAGCCGAGCGTCTTACCCACTCAGCCACAGCTGCTGAAAACCGGTCGGGTCGAACGGCAGCGAGACGGCTGAGTGGGCAAATCCTAAACAGCCGGACATCGGCGACCAATCACATCTCTCTCGATTCGCCTTTGATTCGTTTTTATGAGCGTGACGTTTTTGCGTTTGCTGACAAAAACCAAGCCAAGTAATCCCCGGTTCAAAGGCCAAATATAATTAACTCTACTTTGAAACGCTCGAAAAGGTCGAAACACTCTAAAAGATGCCATTACCAATAAACCATTCATTTCTTGTATAATTTGATTTAACTTATCTTCAATAAAGGCTTCTGATACAAAGTTTTTGAAAGTTTGTTTTGAACGGTCGATGACCTGACTCGCAAAAAAATGTCGTCAGGTCGATTCGGTTCCAGAAAAAAAACGGTTTCTATCAAACTTCAGCAACAGCTTTGAACCTGCTATGAGCAAAAAGCAAAATGTACGAAATAATGACTCGATGAGGCGGTTCAATTAATAGCCTCGCTTTACTTCAAAAACGATGAGGCATTATGGATATTTACAGACCCTGCTCTAAACATTTCATGGCCTTCCGTTTGTCGTCCAGTTTCTGTTCACATACTTTGGCTATCTTCTCCAGCTGTTTTGCAGCCCTCGCCCTCTGGTCTCGCTGTACGTACAAACTGATTGTTTTCTCTATGTACTCAATGCCTTTCTCTGGCTCTGACTCGATCAGAATATTCCCCGCTTCCAGGTAGTTTTCGGCTGCATTTTGAGCTGCCATTGGACCTCCTGCTTCTGTGATTATCGTAGCTCCTTTGATGAAACATTCGGCAGCTTTGCCACCCAGTTCTGCTCTGACGTAATCATGACCCGCCTGCGTGTACAGTTTCCCCGCGCTTTCTATTTTTTCGCTGCATTCTATAAAATATATAATTTCAGGTGATAAAAGAAAAATAATCCAACTAAAATAATCCATCAGTAACAAAAAAGTTACCATAAAAGTGATAAGAACTTGACTAACTTTTCTTTTTCGTCTTTAGTCCTTTCTTGTATAATTTTTCAGCGCTTTTCACTTTCTGAATTGCCTCCTCTTCCCAGCTCATTCCGGCACAATTTCACTCAATAAGTTAAGTCAGTTCAAAATACATTTATTATATATTTTTTAGATTTAGCAATGATTTTGTCCTTAGTTAGTTCTTGGTTGCATTTTAAGAGTAATGCCTGAATTCAAAAGTCGCGAAACTTAGCAGACAAAATATTTAGGGCACAAAAAATTAGAGCACAAAGACATTTCCGCGCAGTGACTTACTTTCAGCGAAGATTCATTTTAAAGATTTTGAAATATATAAAAAATAACCGCCACAACACAAATATTTAGAACCTAGTCAATAATTCCATACGATCCGTAAAAATAAATAGATATTTTCAACAAAATGTTAGTTTCAACAAAATGCTAGATATTTGGGACGCATTTAATGATAGCATGTTGCATTAAACTTAAGAAACAAAGATGCGTAACTTAAAACACTATTTTAGAGAATTAATATAATTGTATTAATGCCGCCTTCAAAAAACGAAAATGCAATAAAAATTTAAATCGTCCAAAACAATATGAAAGCAAGGATAGCAGGTTTCTTGGTGTGATAAGAGGATGTCAACCAAATCCTAAAAACTGAATAGTGATAGAAATTAAAGTATATTTGACAAAAGTTGTCCTCGTAAAATGAATAGTAAACTTTAAAAAAATTCGAAAAATTTCGAAATTGTTTTTTTTTTAATTTTATTCCCAAGAAGGCGCTAAAATAAATTTTGAACACTAATTTTGCTGCAACGAAACTAAGATTTCGGGACTTAACTTGATTATTCGGCTTGCTATTTGATACCTATTTATTTATTCGCTCAAAATTGGACAAAAAACCAGTATATCTCAAGACCAAGAACTGTTTTAAAAATTTTTTAGTGGGGTTCGAATCACAGCTGCAGGGCTGTTATATCATATACAATTCAATCCAATCCAGAAAATAAAAAAGGTACCTGATTTTGCGCGGAAATGATGAAAAATGATGAAAGTAGTAGAGAAATTATTTTCATTGTTTTCATTTTGAGCAGCTTTTTTGAGCATGATTTGCTCAAGAGTTTTTATTTCCTCCATTTATTTGCACAAAATTATTAATACAATAAAAACCAATTTTTTCGATTTTGTTTTTCATAATCCAGTCAATTTTTCGAAATAGATTGTGAGAATTTTCGCAACTCAAATTGCAGGGAAAGCGCTACCCTAAGCTACAAAAACTTGTTTTCCACAAGTAAAAAAAAAACATTCAATTTTTTACAGACTGCATATAACCTAATGAAGCGCATTTCGCGTTACTCGCTCGCTTTAATCGCTCCAAACAAGATTAAAAATCGAAAACCTCAGAACAATTTTTCTCAACATTAAAAAAAGTTTTAAAATTTTTTAATGTCATCAACTCAAGCTGAAAAGATATATGCGAAGCACCAAAAGAGAAGAAATTCCTTATTCAGAAAAAAAGGATAGCCTTCCATTAAAACAAGATGCTGAGGACTATTTGAGAATTTTTATTAATAGCCAATGACAAAACTGATTAACTTGAAAAAAAAAACATAAAAAAGGCGATAAATTTAAGCAATTTTACGATTTAAAGTTCGAAAAGTTATTTAGCCTTCTAACCTCTATAAATAACATTCGAATAAGCGACGTAATTACTTGCAAAAACAAACAAAGTGGAAACTAAGCAGACAAAAAATAAACCGAAAGCGACGAAGTCGAAAAATCAATCAATACCAATGAAATATTACAAAACTTGAAATGCGATTTATTGGAAAAACACTAATAAGGATGCACAGAGTAATAGACGCAAATAGTACGCATATACTGCATGCATGTCGTTTATACTGCACTCATGTCGTTCATATACTGCATGCAAATCCGTGGACAGATTGTTTACGAAAAAAATCAAGTCTAATACCCGATGGGAATACCCTTGCCTATCGCAAGGGTAGCATCAACAGCAACCAATACTCACGTTTAAATCCTGAGCCAATTTTTAGGTATGAAGTATAAGCGTTCATTATAAGAGTTTACAGAACGACAAAACATTCCGTGGATACTGGCTTTAAAAATCTGCGTTAATATCCAATTTCAAATCTGGATAGATTTTCAAACAGAGCATTTTGTCTGCGGAGATTTGTGGATTTTATCAAAAATAACGTATCAAAAAATGACTGAATTGAAGAAAATATATAGACTGAAATTAAAAACAGGCACCGTACTTTAACTCGTACTAAAAACACCCGTACTTTACCCGCCCTTCGGGCAAGCAAGCAGGAAAATAATAAATCAGACTCAATGATGCCAATAACCAGGAGTTTTGAAACACTTGCTATTCCAAACGTCAATAAATTAGAGAGGAACAGTCTTCAAGACGAACCGTGACCAATCATCTACCACACATTTGAGCAATTGAATTTTACTTCTTTAAGCAGAAAACATTCAGTTTGAAACAAGCAAATGTTCTGGCCGGTCCTTATTGCTTTCTTTACCTGAAAAAGTACCAACTTATTCTTCTCAGAAACCGTCGCATGAACTTGATTTGTCTATTAAGCAATAAGTAAGTTCACAACTGATTCGCTGACTCCATGAGACAACTTCTGATTTGGGTTCTGATATGATAACCGCAATCTGATGATACGAAACTCGATTTCTGGATTACTGACCACTGATAACACTTTTTACAAATTTTTGTCATTATATTTCAGAAATTATGTTTTAAAAATGCAACATAACAAAAACAGCCTGAAAAATTATTAGATATAACAAAAAACTCTGAAAATTCCGACCTATCAGCATGAAAATAGGGAAAAAAGATAATCACGGAACTTGTGTATAGACATTTCACAGTATTACCAGTAACTAGATTAGTCGAGTCTACTTTTATAATCATGAGTCACTTACATCAAAAGTGAGTTACAGAAGAGGTAAAATTGTAAAATAATGAACTGTTTCCAAACGATAACGATATCTAGCTACAGAGGTAATTATTGCACAAGCAAAGCTCGAGTGATAGTATGAACTCTCTTTTTTCAACCCTGAGTCGCAAATATTAGTGTTCATTTTGAAAGTGTTCATTTTGATCAATAACCATGTCGGATGTTTTTAATGAACTTTTTCGTATACTAGTTAAAATGCGTCCGCCCTTAAAATTGAGTAATGATAGTTGGCAAATTTATTTTTTTTTCAAAATCACTGGTGCTGCTAAAGCGGAATAATTGGCTTGCGTCACTTTGCAATTAAGTAGACTCATAATTGGAGTGCATCATTTAAAAAATTTTGTAGACTTAACGTTTTATTCATTCAGTTTTTCACAGTAGCGTTATCGGTCATATTATTGCTTAAGTATGCGAAGTCATCGACCGTGACCAAAACTTACAAATAGTATAGTACACTAGCAACTATAAATAGCTGGTAAGCATTCATTTAAAGTAGACCCCTTTATATCCACTTTTCAACCCTTCTCTCTTCAAAAAAAAATCCTTTCTACCCATGAAAAAGAAACCAACAGGAACAAATTTTACATCTTCATTAAAAATCTGAAAACAGGTTGAAAACCTGTTTTCAACCTGTTTTCAGACTTTTTAGAAGGTAGTTTTCAAAAAATTCATGATTAAACTGGACAATTCAATCAGAGAAGCCCTTTCAAGAAACTGACCCAGGCTGGATAAAAAATTAAAACAACATTTAACATTTTTCGAACCTCGGTTTGTTTATTTCTATTTATAGCTTATTTATGATTTGATTTTCTCTTTGTATATTTAACTCTTGTTCAGCTATGGCATAACTCATTAGATGAGCTTGTTGAACAATTTCTTCAAAAAATTTCCAAATTTCCTACGCAAAAAATTCTTTGACGGCAAGTATTTTATTTTCTTTCATTAATTCACTAATTGAATGCATCCTGCGCTAACAAAAAGTATTCTAATTAGCCTTTTGATTTTCATTTCCAGTTCTTTCAATTTGGTATTGTTGGTGTTTGCATAAACGAAAACTTCAGATTGGATGATTGTTTGCACGTAACTTTTAGACCATTAGAGGCGACTATTACTTGCTGCCGTGGTAAAAACTTTCTCAATTGCAAAAACACTCTAGAAATGCAAAACTTCAATTTATCAATATGCTAATGAAAAAACAATTTGCTAACGATAAGAATTTAAGATACTTAAAATATTCTACACAATCTACTTGACTGAAATTTAAAAAAATGACTTGTCTTTCTTTAGCTTTTTGGGTCCGCAAGTGGCTCATGGTCTTGGTTTTTAAAATACTTAGTATCCATATGTTTTTTTTAACAAATCATTTACATCTAGCAAAGCCGATTGATGTTTGAGAGCTATACAGTCTTTTTTGTCTGTGGACTTCCGAACAGTGTAACTTGCATACAAATGTACTACTGTGTTACCAGTGACTGACTATTTGCGTCCATGTATAGAAAGAACAAAAATAGGCCAAGATTAATTCCCTGAGGTATTCTAAAAGGTACAAAGTTAAGGTCGGTCTTAAAAGAGTTTGTCTCGTTGTACTGATAACGAGTGTCAAGGTATAATTCCAACAGATTCAGTAAGGGCTCACTGAATCCCGCAAGTCCTAATTATATGAGCAAGTTAGAGTGATCAATCGTATCAAAAGTTTTTGCGAGGTCTAAAAACGTAATCTGAACCTTTTGATTTTTGTTCGATAAGGATGTTGAAGCTTCTTCTAACTTCAAATACTGTAATGATGGCAACAACACTGCTCCTTTTTGATCTGATACAAAACTGAGTGTATCGGATAACAATGACTTTGTCTATATATGATTGGGCTCTTCTGAAAATGAAACTCTCAGAAAAATTTCCAGAACCGGTAGAAGCGAAACTAGACTTTAGTCTGAAGGATTATCGATTAAGTTTTGAAAATTGGTTCAATTTTTAAAAAACTTCTAACCGTTTGGGTCGGTTCCTGAGGTTAAGCACTCATTGAAAATTCCTGTTAGAGGAATTGCTAGTTTAATTTTTATTTGAAGAGAACAGCATTAATATCATAACAATCTGTACTATCTATATATTTCAACTTTCGATGACTTCAATTAAATCACTTTTCTCCAAAAAAACTATTGCTGCAGACGGATTACCTTTTT